TTTAAAAATATTATGTAATTTACCTAGAAATAATATCAGCTGTAACACTACATCCTAGGACGTCAACTTGCTCCAATAATGAACAATTTTTCAGGAAAGGTTCAAGGTGGTAGTCTGCAAGACATCGCATTGATGCCAGGAAAATTTTCTTCATTTTAGGACAGCCATATGCTATACTATTCAGACTTAGACCTGGGGTACTCAGACTCAAACTGAAATAAAAAAAATGAAGTTTTGCAATCTGTAATTTTCCTTAATACCGTCAACTTTGTTCAGTCAAAGTACTTACCACCAGCCGAGATCAACCTCTTCAAGCCTTGAACACTTCCCTAAAGCATTTACACCCACAGAAGTCAGAGTATATGATTTCCAAAGATCCAATGAAACTAATTCTGAGTTGTGTTTGCTGAGTGTTAGGACAACTTCATCCATGGAAGATATATGCATACATGAACCTACAATTTAATTGAACGGCTTAGTTTGTCTTTTTTTGGTTGAAGCAAAATGTTGTGATAGATTCTATATCCAATGTGGATCAACTTACCTAGATTCAAATGCTTTAGTAGGGGAGATGATTTCAGAATCGCTATCAGGGCCTCTTTTGTGATTGATGTACGGTAGAAATCTAGCCTCTCCAACCCACGAAGAGAAGTCAAACAAAAGAAACCTCGACTGGTGACCTTAGTATTGTTCTGAAGTGCAAGTTCTATGTGGAAACAATGAATAACAGCATTACAAGATACTTAATCTAATAGAATATACAATATAAATAGTATACAATTTTACAATCGATGACATTTTTAGTACCTTCAAGTTTAGGACATAGTGAAGCAATTTTTTCAATGCTGGAGTCAGTGACAAATTTGCAGCAGTTTAGGCGAAGGTGTGAAAGATTCTTGCCACAAGCTTCCAGAAATCTGAAATATTATACTTAAAGTTATCTTCTCTCCTATACACACAATTTACACATTATTTTAAGTTTTGAAACTTACTCAATGAAATCATCTGGACTTATATCTCTGTAGTTACCACACCATGACATGTCCAACTTTTGTATATAAGTAAGGCGTGGTAACAAACATTGCAAACTTATTGGGTTGACACAATGCCAAAATTTCTGTAGATAGGAGAATAAGGTGAAAGTTTCACAAATAGTAAAACAAACAAAAATCAAATCTGATCAATCTGAATGAATTTACCCTGAGTCCAAGTTCGATATACAAATGGGGGTCCTGAGATAAGCTTCTGAAATGGCGGTTGACTTGAGCACAGCGACACAGGTCCTTAAGATCCAAATAGCCAAGTATATGTAGGATACTTTCATCCTAGAAGTAAAGAGTGATGTTAGTGTGCTACAGAAAAGACATACTTGTGCAATGAGGAAGAACAAGAAAGAACATTTACAGGCAAGTTACTGAAAGCTCCACTGTTAGCACTATGTGATGGTAGTTCTGGAGGTTGTGATGAAGACATTGGCAATGCAGGACGATTGGGGATTGCCCTTTGCATATCTTCAATTTGTCTCAGTAGGTTTGGAAATTCATGGTCCAAAAAGGATGATATTGAATTAGAAATGTCAACCTGAAAATAAATGAGCCAATAAAATAATAATAGTAATATTCAATGATTCAATTCAGGCACCAACTGCTTTTTAATATTTTAGAAAATTATATAAGATGTAAAAATATTTTGCACTACGATCTAACAAAATACCTGTGGTGAAAATTGGTGGATATTCATTTCTTGAACCCTGTTAGTGATGTCGCCCACAGTGACAAGCCCAGAGAAATTTGATGAGCTTCCATTTCTACTTCTAACAACAGGATTTTGCAGTGTATGGCATGTTCCCAGATTATTCTCAGGAAAAGGTTTATAAGTTCCAACCAAGCACACTGCATCCAACTCTGTGTAGTATTCCAAATTCGAATGGTCAAATTCAAGGCGGAGGAGGCTGAAATGAAATTTGAGAAAATGACAAGTTAGGAACTAGCATAAAAAAATAAAAAACTAGGCATCACATAGATGATACACTATTCTTCATACTTGGTGGGAAATTGGATAGTACGGAGAGGAGGGGAAAAGATTCGAGACATAGGCCTTGTTGCTTGAGCTGCACCTTCCCAGAGAAGGGCCCATTTTCCTTGAAGACTGCGAGCCCAGACACGGACAAGAGCCCCAGGATTGTAGATTTCATAAATGTTAACTTGGAATGGGTACACAGCCTGCTCAAATGTGACATCTAAAAATCAAACAGAAAGAAAGAAATTTATTACACTTAACTGATGACAAGTTTAAGTCATGCAAGCCAAAGAAAATGTGTAGTAAATAAGTTTACCGATAAAATCTTGACTAATAATGGAGCCTTGATTTTGAGGCATAAATTCTCTAACCCCAGATGGTGCCTCCTTCCACCACCGCCCATATGTTCGCTGAAAAACCATGAAATGATTGTAGGCATGAGACAAATTATCATCTACATTAAAGATATAGCAACAACAACATAACAGCGGGGCAATATGCAAATCGTTGCAGAGGCACAAGAACCAACAAATGGTATCCGTAAGGGAGACTGAAAGATAATTGGAAATATTGTGTCAGAAGGGTTCTCAGAGACCGAAAGGAAGTCAAATGATAGGTGAACACGCAATAAAGTTGACCTACATGAACACAACATACCATAACAAATGCCTGGGGGTAGTCTCCATAGTCAGGGTACTTGCTAGGCTTCCCTGCTAAATTATATGCTGTGTAAGATATGCTAATATCACTGCCATATTGGGAACTAAAATCACGGACATCGGAGACAAACTGTTCAATGAATACAACTTCATTATCTTCTTTCGTTATTGTGTCGATCAATGCTAACACGTCCACCATCTTGGATGTTTTGACAGTCTGGGGTCGTCAAAGGATGAACTTTTGTGTTGTTGGCAAACCTGGGAAGCCGTACATTCGTCTGATGCGATTAGACTTTTCCCTTGACAACTTCGTACAGGAAACTGACATTTTTCAGAAGTAGCATTCCACTCGAATCCTAACAGAACGTGAAACCCAGTGAACTTCTGTAATCAATCACAAAACCGCTTATTTTCGTTTTTCAATGTTGGCCCGTCATCGCGATGGATAAAAACATCCTGGCAGTTGGCAGTTTCTATCAGGCGGTGATAACGATAAGTCGCGATTTGAAAAGCAACACAATTCCCGGCGTAACAGTTAAGCTCCTCAGTAATTTACTGGATATTTCGCAAGGTTTTCGACAGTCTTGCACATTTTGACGTGTGTTTGTTGGCCCGGACGCGATCGTGTTGTGGAGGTGCGAGTCACGCCGCGCGTGTTGCCCGTGTGACTCCTAATGGAATAATGAAATGAATGGGGTAGACGTGCGAGTGCTGAGAGTGCCTGTAGGTTGGGCGCCGAGAATGTTGTCTTCAGCCGTGATTCGCGGTGGATCTCCTCGTCACCTCCGATAACATCGAGCTGGCCCCAGCTGGTCCTCAGACTGTCGCCCAGACGACGTTCGCCCCCCGCAGCCATCTGAGGTCGCGCCTCGCAATGTCCTCTCTGCGCAAAGACGTCGCCCAAGGCTGCCGTGTGGACGACACAGTGTTCAACGTGCTCCCGGCCAAGAGAATTAAGACGAAGCAGAAGCCTTTGGCTTTGCCACCAAGGTGGGCTTGAAGCATTCTGCTTGATGCTGCTCAGTTTTGGATAATGGTACTCTCACCGACCAAGTCTAAAAAGCCGCCTACTAGTAAGCAAGCTCCCACCAGCCGTAATAGCGGCAACAACAGCCAATTTGGTAAGTTCTACGGTCTTTTCAGTAACTGACATTTGTTATTATCTATGTAGTTTTATTAGTTTCTTGTACTTTTATAATCAGCAAATTTGTCATTCTATTGTAAATTACATACCTTATCAATCTGACAGAGTTGTTGCGCGTCACAAATCTTTTCCGCTTAACACTTTTCGTGTCAGTGGTATTGACCAGTTATTTGTTGAAAATGCTGTCATGCTTTCTTGATTAAATATATTGTTCTACTACATCTTATTTCATCTTTTTTCCAGCTGCCTTAAAGTTACAAAAAGGAGCCAAGCCATTCGGCGGGAAGCAATTTTTCTTTGATATAAGAAATCACAGTACAGCGTCAAGACTTGAGACCTCTATCAAAAATTACGGAGGAGTGAGTATTTTTCTAGTTACTGTACGGTCAATAGATGGTGAGAAAGTCAATCTGTTAAGGTTCATCCCTGGAGCTAGCTGCAGCTTTGCCTGCAGCTTTGCCTGCAGCTTTGCCTGCAGCTTTGCTGCTTGAAATTTAGTGACACCCCCTGGTGCGGCCGGCAAAGTGTCACTGCCTTCTCGGAATGGATGATCCCCACCCTTTTCCCGTCGACCCCCTCATCGGCGCGAAAGTTGAATGCACGGCCGGATTACCTAAAATGTTGCCGGTCCGTGCGGATTACATCCGTGGCGACCGGTGGCGCCGAAAGAACCTTGTCGCGGGCCACGTACCCCGGGCGCGTGGGAGGGTGCTCGGAAGGGTGAGGTGCTTGTTGGCACCAATTGTGTCGGGGGGGGGGGGGCAATTGATTTTCCGACGAGGCTGCTCGTGTGTGGTGTGGATGTGTGTTTCGTGAGTCATGCGCTTGTTTTGTTTTAGCCCCTTCTCTCATTCTCATGGCTTTTCTGCACCGTCCCGTGCTCAAGGCATGGCCAGGGTAAAGGGAAGGAGAGTGGGAGTGCGTCGGGGGCGAGGCGAGGGTAGGGCGGTAGGGCGTTTGACAAGCCTCGCCTGGCAGCGCCATAGCTCCTCCCCCTGGCCTGGCCCTGGCACCCCCTGCTTGTTCTGACCCCGCGTCCCGCACCCCGTCCCACCCCACTCCCCCACCCCGGGGCCAAGAGGGAAGGGGCGAGCGGGCTGGGCTGTGCTGAGCTGTGCTGGGATGGCGTGGGATGGGGGCAGGCCTGGGGCCATGTGAAATGGAATGGACGCTCTACTGGTTGTTGTGTGCTGTGTAGCTGCGCGCGCCTGCCCGCGCCTTCCCTCCCGCCCTGGCTCTCCCCACCGCTTCCCGTCTTCCCTTTCCTGTTTCATGCCGCCCAGCCCAGCCCCGCCCCGCCCTGCTGTCCGTTCGTTGGGGCCAGCTTTGGTGTCGCTCCACTCTACTGCAACGAACAGCCCGTGTCAGTCGTCGCCACGCCGCACCCTTCCCGGGCCCGGCCCGAGTGACTGTGAAGGCGAGCCTATGCCGTGACCGCAGGTTTCGGATCCCACTCGATCCCACAGCACTGCACGGCCCGGTGCGGTGTGCCCCTCTGCCGCTTCCGTCCGGCCCTCCTCGGCCGCGGACTCGCGCAGGGTTGCGCAGCGACGGCTTGCACGCCTTCCGCGACGACACTTTCTTTCCTCTCTCTATCTTTCGGCGCCGCTCGCTGAGGCAGGAGGGAAGGAGGCGCTCAACGGCATTTTCGAACGTGAGCCGCTGCGTCTACTCGCGCCTCGCAGGCCTCGCGTCGTGTGCCCCCTCCCCCTCCTCCCCTCCCTCTTTTCCCTCTCAGCCAGCAGGCCAGCACAGCGTGCCTTGCCCGCTCCGACCATGCCAGAGCCAGCGAGCTAGCCAGCGAAGGGACCGCCCCGGAGCTACTTGCTCCTCTTGACGGAGGGATGTTGATCAGCAGCGGGTACCCTAATCATGATTGGTCCATCGTTCTTTTGCTTCGGCGGACAGGTTCGCTGCGGGTTTCCGGAACCAGAAGCAGATGCCGTGGTACTGTGGGAGGGAAGTTTTGCGGCGCGACGGTGGCTGCCATGTTGGCCGTGGTCTTCCCCCTGGAGATACCCAGTAAAGGTGTATGGGCTGCGAGATCACAAGTTTAACGCTTTGCAGTCGGTAGAATAGTAACGAAATTAAAGAGATCCCCCGTCCCGGTCCTCAATCTGAGAGGTGTCCTGACAACGCCAGGCGAGACGCTTATCGCGTTGATTAAGGAGATATCGTGGTTCCGAGGCGAGTCCCGGTATTTTGGAGGAAAGTGCATTCTGATTCAAGACGCGCGAAAGCCTTCAATGGTGTTAAACTGGTGCCGTTTTGGGGTGAATCTGGCAGCGCTGTAACTAGACATGAGTGCCAGGAGCTGAAAAGCAGCCCGCCGCGTGGCCTATGCACGCAGGGGTCAGCCGCCCACCGCCCGAGTGCTGTTCCGCTTCCAATTGGTCCGGAAAGCAGGAAATTGATTGATCGCGTCATTTTGGGTGGTTTGCGCGCGGTCCCCGAGGCCTGCCCGCCCCGCTCCCTCATCCACCTCCTCGTCCTCGCCCGCCTAGCCTGCCTCGGCGGCCGTTGTGCGGCGGTGGCGGCGGCGGCAGCAGCACTACGCTGCGCAGCGCACGCTGTCGCCATCTTTTTTGTTGGCGACGGTGCTGCCCTCTAGCGACGCTGTCTGGCAAATTCGCTGTAAACGTTTCGGGGAGAGAAAAGCCATTTTGTGACAGGCTGAATGCGTTGATTTATTGTTGGGAAATTTGGTTTCCTAGCCGGGTGCGAACGTTGCTTTAATGACGTGAAAAAGTTCTCGCTTTCGTTTGGACGGGCGTTGGTGGATCTCTTGGCTGCTGGACGTTCGTAAATGCCGAGGTAAGTGACGGCAGGCCATTGCAGCCCAAGAAAGAAAAAGACGGCCGAGGCGGATCAGCTCTGATGCTGTGACTGGGGCCGCGGGTGGGAAGCACGGTCTTTGAAAATGTTGGCTTTGGTCGTATGGAACGTCTTAAAGGCCCATTGGGCTTTTATTTGTTTTTATTTGGACCTGAACAGGGCGTCCCCCCGGCCCTCCCGGGGCCCCCCCTCTCTCTCCGTCCCGTCCCTGCTGGGCCTTGGTTCGCTCCTCTCGCAGCTCTCTGTGCTTGCGACGCGTCGCGTACCGTTGCGCGCTCGCCACGCACACTTTTCTGATTTTCCGTGACGCTCGTGGCGTGATCGTCACGCTGTTGTCACTGTCAGGTGACGGGAAAATTGCGGGAGTTCTCATCTTCCCCTCCCCCCCTTCCTTGACCGCCCCTCCTCTGACTCGGAGGCACCAGTCTGTAGCTTCATTACTTTGAGGTTATGTTGTCTCCAGTCGTCCTCAATATTTTTGGTATGTCAGAACTTGGCTAGGTTCTAGTCTGTTTACTAGGTCGAACGAGTTTGTTCATGTCCTGGAATGTGACCTCTCCGGTGACTGCGCATTTTGTTACGTGATATGTGGAACATCCATGTCAAAATTTACTTCTGTTTGTAAACAATGTATCCCTTGTGACACACATTTGTCAGATAGTTTATTTTCCCGTTGTTATAAAATCTTGTCAAAGTGCATTCATAGTTAAATTTGATTGTACTAAATCATCCTCAATCACCCTCTGTCTACAATGAAACAATTTATTATTATTATTCAACTTGTTCATTGTAATGTATTTTCCCAATTTATGTGGAGGTTTTTATAGGGTAAGGTATCCATCCAGGTATCATTTGCTAAGTGTTAATGGACCTGTTTGTTGCAGGTGGTCAACCCGTTTATACATAAAGAAGTAGACCTTGTCATCACTGACCGAGCAGAATGGGGAGGAGGTGTGCAGAGTGGAGTGGCTGGGAGTCCTCTCTATGCTGGTCGAACCCCTAGGCCATCCCCCTCTCCATCTCCCTTACCACATCTATTCTCACCTGCTGCATCCCCAGCTGGCAATAGCAGAGGGTCCAATTTCTCTCCTGCCACCCTTGATTCACCTGGTGAATCCGTTGGTGGAGGAAGACGTCAACCTGTAAGTCCCAAACTTATTTTCATATTTTGTTCAGAGTAAGCCTATTCCTTCTAAATAAATTCTAATAATTTCAAATTTTTCAGAAGTCTCGTGCTGAGGCTATGCTGGAGCGAGTTCGCTCCCAGCCTCAATTTATTACCAGAGATCCTTTAGTTGATGCTCAAAACTGGGGTATTACTATCTGGCCTGTTGAAAAGGTCTGTGGCCCTTCTACAGATGTTATGGATGTCTTTATTTTTCTGTCTTTTCTTGTTTTAAATAATATTTGTTTCCCATTTAGATTAGTAAACTTCTGCAGAAAATCGCACAAACCTACAAGAAAGTGTGTGTTGATAATTCACCAGTTCCCACAAAGCGTAAATCTGACACAGGTTTTAATAAAGTTAAGCTACGCACAGGGAAATTTTTTATTAAGATTGAAGCCACAGACAGGTAATTTATTAGACATTAGTATTTAGCTTTTCTGTAAATTGATGCATATATCATGTGTATTGATTTTCGATTTTGTGTCATTTTTCAGGCAACATCGGCCTTCATACAAAGACCTTCCTTGCTGGCCCTCGATAAACCTAGACTCAGAGCCAGGAACGTCTCCCTTTGTTCTTAAGCCTACCACCTCAACAGTTTGCAAAAATCAGATTAAACCTGAGGTTAAGGTCAGTAAAGATAAAAAAGAGGCATCTGTCACAACCCAATGCAAAGGACTCAAGCTAGGGCTGAGACGATCTCCAAGAAAGAAGAATTCACCATCAAAGCCACTATCCCCTCTTAAAAGGAATGCTTGTGGTGCTCATCCATCTAGGAAGGGCAGTAATTTTGTGTTTCAAGATAGTGAAAGGCAAGTTTTGCATAGTCTATTCTTACCTTCTCATCAGTTCATGATCTTCTATAAAAATCTGAATTGCTCATTTTTCACGTTGCAGTGTTAACTTAGTGCCTCCGAGACCGCCATCCAAAAGGCACCCTGAAAGATCTTTATTCCCTGAGGTTAAGAAAGAGACTGATTTGTATGAGCCCTTGCCTGGATATTGTGAAATTTGTAAAGTTGATTATCAAGATTTGAGGAGGCATTGTTTGACCCAGGCCCATAAAGAATATTCTTTGAATGTTGAAAACTATGCCCAACTTGACAGCCGCATTAATTCACAATCTCTGAATTTAGAGGCATTTTATAATTCTCTAGTTCCAGTGAATACCAGGTAAGCATTAGTTCCCTTGTAAATATGTTTTCCCTTTGGAGGTGTCAGTTGTCATTTCACACTTTCATTTCCATTTTTGGTTCTGTCTTTCACTTGTATGTATATATGTACTGAATCAAAACATGTCAACATTTTTTAACTCTCACTCAATTTTGAGTGATTTTGTTACCATATCTTTCAGTATTTTCTATCTGACCTGACTATTGGTTACGGTAAATAGCAATGCATGTGTTCTTTCTTGAGCCTAAATTATTGTGCATCTATGTACTACATTCTGGAACTTTGTTATCAAGAAGTTTTTAAAATTCCCCTTTTTTGGTTATGGGCGTTTAAAGGCTTTATGAAAGGCATACATGTCACAACCATGTAGCTTTCTGTTTTGCTGTTTCATATTTGTTTTCCATTCCAATATCTTTTCTGCCTTTAGGTAAATGTTACATCTTATGCTTGTTGATTGAGCAGAATGTTCAGTCTTCATTGTTGATGGTGCTGGAAGTGTATGTAGGTTTATGTTGCATGGATGGGTTTTAATATTTGTGGTGTTGGTAGGGATTCGTCTGAGACCTTGTCTCTGACACCCTATCCGTTTGTTGCTCTTCAACAGGAGCAGCAAGCCTGAGGAAAAGATAGCCCCCTTGGCCAAGGAAGGTGACGATGCAGACGCAAATGGGACTGCAACCATCATGAGACAACCAGTCGATGACAGGAATTTACCTTCCAAAATGGTTGGACGCAAGGAAGCCCTCGAGGTAAAGAACTTGCATTGTTTTAATGATTCTCATACAGTGTAATTATTTAAGTCATCTGATCTATCCTATTCTTTCTCTTTAGGTGCAGTGTAATGGCATATCAAATCATGTCCAGACTCGCTTCACCTGCAACAAAGGTGATCGGGAAAATATCAATGGTATCTTTCTTGATGAAAGACTGACTGCTGCTCAACTCAGAAAGAAGCGTTCAATATCAGTAAATTGTAAGGACTTGCTTGAAATTGCCCCTGGGACTGAAAGAACGCACTATCTCAGATCAGGACGACCTGCAAGAAGTGAGCTTTCTCAGCTTTCACCAGCCTTGAGTGACAATAGTCATCCTCTGCTGAATAGTAATAGTCAACAGCCGTTGCTTTCACCAACACTGAGTGAAAGAGGGCATAATTTACGAACGAGAAGCCAGTTATGGAATAATGTTGTTGAGGAAGATTCCCTACCCAACAGTCAATCAGAGAAAAACAAACCTGATAAACTGGCAGATAGAGTGGAAAGTCCTGAGAAAGGGGAGAAGTCTGAGAAAGTTGATTTCAATGATAAATCTGCTGGTCAAGATGATTTCACTGCCACTGCAGCTCCTCAAGAAGAGGAGACTGAAGAAGAAGTGAAAGAATCCAGGGAACGAGAACTTAGACCTCCTCGCACTCATAGTAGAAATCGATCAATTAGACGCAAGAGATTGTCGGCTGAAGAAAAATTGATTGAGGACAATCGAGGGTATTACAAAGTTGAGGTTTTGAACAGCAAATTGAGGTCCACTGGATTCTTTGTCCAGTCAAATCATGCAGATGGAACTGTCAATGGTCAATCTAATGTTCCAAACCGTACTGGGTCACAAGAAGAGAAGGAGCCTGTGGTAGTGAGATTCAAAAAAGTGAGACGCTCTGAGCTCTCTGTTCTCAGTGATGAAGCGGAAAACTTCATGTTTGGTGAACAAACCAGAAGTGAAACTAATTCTGAGAATTCAACAGAGTCTGATGAAGATGAAGAAGAAGGAGAAGAAGAGGAGGAGGAGGAAGAAGATGGAGGTGAAGATGATGATGAAAGTGGTGGAACTGATTCCAATGGACTGAGTGAAAATGGCATGGATAGCAGTCGCAGTAGGAGCAGCCAAAGGAATGGTAGGAGAAGTAGTAGTGGTCGTCGTGGCAGAGATCAACCGCATCGCATACGGCTTAGGGTAAGCTGCTCTCTCTTTGTTGTCTGAACTTTGTATTTGCCTGTTTCAGTTTAACTAAATTTTATTTGGTTCTATTCAGGTTGGAAGTGATGGTAACTACAAACGTTGTAGTGCTGGAGAAAGTGGTAGTTCAAGTCAACTAAATAGTTCTGACACCAACGGTTACCGTAAATCCCGCAAGCGTCGTACCCAAGCTGAAGCCTTTATTAACGACAACGCTGATTATTACAAATTTGAGCTGGCAGGTTCACGACTTCGTGTTCATGGGTCTCCATCAGCTTCTGGGGAAAATGACGACCCTGCAACCTCAGAAAAGGTCAAGGTTCCTGTTATTGAAGAATTGGTGTTTAAAGAAATTGTTGATGGGACACCATGTCCTGTGGATGATCTTCATTTCTCCTTTGAGTCTGTTCCTAGCTCAGAGGTTTGGTTCCATACTTTTCAAAGACAAGATAAAGGTGATGAGCTAATTTTCCCTGCTGTAAGTGAACCAAGTTCTGTAATTCTCCCATATCAATTGCCTCGAAGGGACATGGGCATTGGGCAGCGTTCAATTGGTAAAAGAAGAAGTAAAAATTCAGTACGCCTGCCTAGAAAGTCTCCTCGGTGTCATGCATCAACACTTGCCATCCTCTCAAGTGTTGTTAAACGCCGTAGTAGTAAGGAACCAGAGGCGGCTGTTGCTGCTGAGGTTGTTCCTAGTGAACTAATTGATCCTGAGACAAAGAGTGCCACCGTCAAACCACCTCAGTCTGGCACACAGGCTCCTGCCGCCGCCGCTGCTACTGCTGCTGTTACTGCTGCCGCCGCCGCTGTTGCTGCTGAGGCACCTAGCAATGCAGATCACATTACTGGAGAAGAGGAAATCCAAGAAATAGCTAGAAATATCGATTCTATGCTTGGCCTTGTCCCTGTTTTATCAAGTGACATAGAAAAGGAGCAGGATGTTAGTCAGTCTAAGCCATATATTAAAGGCCGAAGTCGTAAGAAACAACCAGTGAAACCCATCTCATCTAATGAACAAAGTGTCCCAGAGTGTGTGTCAGAAAGTGATAGGGATAGAGACCCTTCTCTTCACTATTTAATTGATCCAGCAATTCTAGATGAGTTGTCATGCACCTGTGATGTTCTTTCTGACCCCAGAGGGGGGCCTACCATGGATTTCCTCAGTCTCCTGGACAGTTATTCTGATTGTTGCTGTACTGTTGAGGACTCATCTACCGATCGTGGAGTAGATGCATCTTGCAATAGTTCTGAGTGCGGGACCTCATCCACCTGTGAAGCTGACAGGCGGTTGAAGAAGAAACGCAAACGTAGAAACATGACTGGATGGGATAAACCAAAGCGCAGGTGTATATTGCGAAGAGATGTTCTTGGTGCTGTGCCTGAAGAAGTAGATATTCTTAAAGAACAATCTAGTAAAGATAGCTTAGAAGAACCAGACTCAACACTTGCCTCTCCTGACAGTGAATCAAGTGTTTCAAAGGTTCCGAACAGTATTTCTTCTCCACCAAGCTTTCAGAGAAAGTGTGGAATTAAACGGAAACTTCGTAGTTCTCTTTCTATAACAGACTCTTCTCGCAAAAGCAGTGTTTCTGGACAACCTCGAATAAATGTGATCAAAATCGAGAAAGATGGTGAAGTATCAGTTCCTTCAAAAAAGGGAAAGTCCAGAAAAGTTCGTAGAATAGGTTGGTCCAAGGCCAGATGAAGCCTGTGTCATAGATATTACTCCATTTTGTGTTCAGTAGTATGTCTGTGAATGCCCCTATCTGCCACCTAGTCTTGAAGCTTTGATGTAACTGCCAGTTTCAACTTTTTAATTCATTGTTAAACATCTGTTAGGTACAACCTAAATAAATACCTTCCCTTTTTTTTTTTTAGATGAATATTTTAGGGAAAGTTACTTGTTACAGTCATTCTCATAATATTGATTTTATTAAATTTTATCAACCCAAAGAACAGCAGCAATCCTGTCTCTTGTCAGTTCTGTAAGTAGTAAATGTTTTGTAAATGTGTTTATATGTCATTTTTAAAAGAAATTTTATATAATTGAATTGTTTCCAAATTTTAATTTCATTTATTCTCTCCAGCATTTGTATGCTGTGGTTTTGTATGATAGCTCAAGTGTACTGTAGTTGGTGAATGTGTTATGCTGGTCTATCTGTTAGGCATACTCTTCCATGTATTCCAACTTGTGTGTGCTGATTTTTGCCATTAAACAAACATTGAATGTAAGTTTTTGGTACAGATAATAAGTTGAGTGACCAGTCTGAGATTTTTGTGTAGGTAATACATTATGTGTGAGGAGCAATAAAATTACTACAATACTATTAATCGTCAGGTAGATTAAATTTTTTAATCCTCCTAAATGTGTAATGCAGGTTCCTCCCTTAAAATCTTATCTATGTTCAATATCATATCAACTAAATGCTACGTAATGCTCCTGATGATCTCCTAATCTTTACGTATTGTAAATCTGTAAGGCTTTGACAGCATTTAGCCCTGTACAATTTGATTCAGTCTCTTTCATTGCCTTAACATTTAAGGAAATGATAGACGTGGTGTATGTATGAAGCATTCAGAACTCTACTGAACTTTTAAAAGGAAAGTAGAATTAATGCTGTGACCTGATGGTTATTCAGAATTCATTTCTTTTACATTAAGGTTCATTGTAGTTCTATATCATTTTGCATCTTACCCATTTTCTTTTTAGTCGCTTAGTACCACTCACGGTGACTATATAGAAATTTCTTCTATGGTTCAGATATCAAAAAAATTTCAGTTGTATTGTGATTGTATCAGAATCTCCTTATACAGC